TGCCAGTAAAATACAGCTATACAAATCAATCATCTCTCCTCATCTAGACTTTTGCCCATCCATTTTATTTCTGTCCAATGCAACACAAATATCGAGATTACAGCGCTTGCAGAGTAAAATAGTGCGTTTGATTTTGAGATGTAATAGATTCACTTCCTCAACTTTGATGCTAGACGCCTTACAATGGTTGTCGGTGAAGCAAAGAATTGTATATTTGACTATGGTGTTCATTTTTAAAATAGTTAACGGTTTGCTGCCTCGATATTTGTATGATCGAATTGAAAGAGGAAGTGACTATCATAGATATAATACTAGAAACGCGGATGAAATAAGAACACCACATTTCTTGACTTGTGCTTCACAGAATTCATTATTTTTTAAAGGAATAAATGTTTTCAATTCGATGCCTAGACACATTAAACGTTCAACAACATTAGCAGAATTTAAGAGACATTGCATTTCACACGTTAAAACTGTCTTTTGAACAGTTATCCAGTGATTTTTTTTTTATGAATTGACAAATTATGTATCTTGACGAAGTTATTTTTAACGGATTACTTTATATGGATAGCTGTTATAACGACTTTTTAATAATTATTGTAGCACTGCAAAAACTATTTTGTTCGCCACGATGGTGATGATGGATTTTTGATATTTGATTTAATAGTAGTAGTAAAAAAAAATAGTAGTCTACAAAGGTTTGAGCCTCGCGCGCGTATTACGGATATAGAGGACTGAATTAAACATTCGATAAAAAAAAAATGCAATTTTGAAGCTTATTTGGAAGATACCTTGAGTTAGTAGTAAGTTTTCTGGCAAATGTTGGGGGTTCGTGAGCATTCCTGACATTGCTGAAAATTATGATAGCATCAGATTGCGGGGTTACTAGAGTAATAGGATGCTTTGTTGATTGTTCATTAACTCTTGATTGCTTGTAATACTTATGAATATTTTAGGTGGACAAAAAGGCGAACTAAGAGGTGGACGCCTGAGCTTTTCCACATTTATATCGCTGTGAAGCAACTGTAAACTCTAGAGGGAATTTATATCTGTAACTGAAACCAGTTCGATTTTGTTTGCCAACCTGGTTAAAATGTCATATTAAATTATCTTAAAGATAAATCGTCCAGCTCAAACCTTTGTAGGGGTAAGAGGTGGGACCATCATCATCACAGCAAACCACTGAAACGGTCAGTTAGCGGACACTAGTTGGTTTCCGATGCATAGCTGCGATTTTATTCGGTGAAAGGGTCATCACTTGGAAAAAAATTCATTCAACCGTACATTCCGGCATCGTTTGATGGTGCACTTCCAGAACCATCCGGAAGAATGGAGATCTTTTCGGGAGTGATCGAGGTTACAGCTGTGTGAAATGCGAAATGTTGTGAACACTTTCTGAGTAACTGCTTCCAAGCCATCGGGAGAGAATCGCCTGGAAGAACGCTGAATCGCACAGCGCAACTATTGAAAGATAAACAAACTTTGACGTTTAACATTTTGTAGGCAACATTACCGCCATAAATGCTGCCATAAATCTGAACGGGTTAGGATCAAGCAAAATGGCTTTAGATAAATACAATTCAGTCTACAAGTTTTCTTCATAAAAGCCATTTCAAACGCTTATGAATTTGTTAGGGATTTCTTGAAAGCAAAATAACTTTTTCACAAATGGCCCATGAAAATCAACTTTTATGTCTCCGGAATATAACAATTATTTTGTTTGTTTTTTACAATCTGTGACTATGCTATGACCAGACACTCCCGGGTAACTAGCTCAGTAGCATGAGACCCCTGAACTTGGTCGCAGGGCCGGCATGTTACTGGGTATTCGGAGGGGCTACGCGGACAAAGTCAAGACCAACAATTGAAATGGCCTTAACTCCATTTTGTAAACAAACCTTGTAAGGCAATTTTCTCGCGAACCGAAGTCCGCAAAGGCAAACCAACATAATGAACAGGTAGGGAAAATTATCCTCTAGCCGATTGTGGTTTAGGTTTGCGAATTAAGGTTTCGGTTCGCGAGAAAATGGCCTTAAATACAAGAATTGTTTACAAAATGAAGTTAAGGCCATTTCAATTGTTGGTCTTGAAGTATGAAACACAGAAATATTCACATTTTCTAACACATTTATTTGCCCTATTCTGTGGCGTGTGGGTGTGGGTTTTCACATATATGTGGCGTGTATGCGAGGGTTTTAAAATTTGCACTGTACTCACTGCTGCAGCGGGATCTCCTACGGCGTCGCGACGCTGGCGTTGGCCCACATGGCTGCTCTTGCACTACCGTGTGGCCGGAAACTTGCGGCGCGGGCTGCAGACAGTGTTGTTGCAGCTTTGGGAGAATGGCGGATCTGGTGGCGTTCATCAGCCACATACGGCTCAGCAGGCGTTGCTGGCTCCTTTGGCTGGCAGGCGTCTTCCGTCGTTGACGGCATCGGCTGACCGTGGCATGGCCATCTTGGTCGAGCCGAGACGGGATCCTCCTTGGCAATTAAGGCCACCGGCCTGAGGGAATCGTCCCTGACGGACGATCGAGGATCATTTACAATTAGGCTCGGAAGCCATCTTGACTTCCGAGCCGAGCCGTGTAAGACCGTTTTATTTACGGTACGAGGTCCTGAGAATTGTTATAATTCAGGGAAATTTTCCGTCAGGATAATAAAAAGTAAATTACCTGAACGGAGGCAGTGCAACATCCCAGAAACCCCACAAGGGGGGGGGAGGGGGTACACTAAATGGCACTGCACTTAAAAATACCGGTCTTTTGCACACGGACGCCTGTTTATTTGTGGTCAATCTTCCACTGAAAGATGGCCTCTGCAATATCTCCAATCATTATCATTCTCCCTCTTTTCGCACAACCATTTTTGTGCGAGATGTTGTATAAAAGTGTTTTCCTTTCAGTAACGTTCTTGTTCTTTGCAGCGGCACAAACCCTCTCGATCTTGTGTGTGTCTACTGTTTTATGTTTAACAAAACGTGAATTTTCCAAACAACAACAAATCATACAAACGAAAATCCGCGGATTGTAAACAACTGGTTACAAATCTTCGATTTTTAATCTTTATTTCCTTAAATATAACTTTATTTTAGTTAATTTAGCAATGAAAAAATATTCAGAATGCAAAAATCATGAGAAATAAAAATCTCGGCTAAGCTTAATGATCGATCTGAAGAATATATATTTTTTTTCTTAATGTTAAATAATTAGTAAAATCGATGTTTTCCGTGGGTGGACTCAAATTTTTCGATATTTTCACGTACATTTCACATCAAATTTTATATGTCACCTAAAACTAGGCCACTTCATGAGAACTTTTTTTATAATTTTTGAAATTCGGAAGGATTTTTATACGATCAGTTTTTAGATTAATTATTTTGATAAGATCGGATGGTATTAATGGATCCTTTTTTATCTTGATTGTTGTTTTTCGAGTAAACTTAACAAGCAGCTAGGGTAAATGGCTCGGATAATGGTTTTATTTGTTTGCCAAATAGCTTTTATCGTAGCTTAAATACGGTTTTGAAATCGATCTCAATGTGTTTATCGTACAACTATTTTGCAGTAAATCAATCTTGAAGCGCTTTGAAAATATACCCTTCAGAACCTTTTCCAGAGTGGGCCAACTAGACAGATTCTAGCTTTAATGAGGTTTTGGTGGATGCATCAATGGCAAAGCAGTTTTGACCAGGGTTTTATGAATGTTGTTTTATAGCAGCTTTGTAGTATTTCATAAAACTTAAAATGTTACTTGGGATGTACACCGTTCAAAAATTCATGTAAATCTCTGCGAGATATAGCGCACATAAAATTAACGCTAGATTTGGCATACATTTATGCGATATTTCGTGTAAATTTAAGCGGAATGTGGCATAAATATGCAATATTGTAAGCAAGCTTGTAAAGGATTTCGTTGTTTATGCCAAGTGTAGCTCAAAGTTAAACGAAGGGAGATTTTACGCGATAGTTAAAATTCAGGATTTTTTTTCTGTGTATGTAAATGTAGTCTACATATATGAAATAAAGAAATAGATACCTAAATTTTACAATAAATGTACGTTTTTGCCTTTTGCCAGTTTTGTGCTGTTCAATAATCAAATTTCGGATATTAATCGAAATTTGTGCTATTTTGGGCATTTTGCAACAAATACTTTCAATTTTGAACACGAAACTGATATTTTGAGCTCGAAAACTTCAACAGCACTAAATGACAGCTAGACACAATGTTCACATTCGTGAAAGCTGCAGAATACACACCAAAACTCTGTAAAACACACTTAAATCATAGTATCCGTTTGGGGGTGGATAAACTTTGCTGGCGTAATTTTTACCCTTTTTCATAATTTATCATATGAAATCTCAAGAAAAGGCCGTATTTTCAATGGCAATGTGATAAAAAAAAAATTGATAAATCATGGAGGAACACTCATAAAATTAAACTGATTTTCACCAGAAAAACAAATAAAATATGTCAATTGGTAGGGGGGTGGATAAACTTTTTTGCATACTATAGATCATTTTATGCAGTCATGACATGACTTTGACCATGTATTTTTAACAGGACAGATTTTGTCTGGGAATCTTTTAGTTGCATTTAAAAATTTTAAACGCATTTTTTTTTTGTTAGCTTTGGTTCACTAACAATCTAAAACATATGCTTGAAGAACGTTACACCTAAAAATGCGATGTGGTTCAGGGGTCCCAATCATTTAAAATCGAGAATTGTCCTGGTCAAAACTCGGTCAAAATTGTTTCACATATCATTAATTTATGAACACTGCATGCCATGAATCACTAGTCTTATCCAACGTCAATTTTGTGATATCGCGAATCTTCACACATCCTATTCATAAGGGTTGTAACATAACCCATCGCACACCCCCGTACTGGCTCCACCAGTGGAATCCAACCAGTTCTTCTGTACTTTCTACATGTCATAGGCGTAATACCGGAAAGCGAGAAAAGACATACAACAGAATAAATCAAATCAATCACATACTCGTTATTCTCGTCCCGGTCGGTGGCAAGATTCCTTCTGCTCCAACTCTGCCTCCAGGCCTAACAGGACTTCCGCCGTCGTTGTTTCAGTCAACCCACCATCAGGTGCACAGCTCACTTTTTTTTTCGTACCAGTTATCCAGCACGATGACTTGCTGGCAATTTCTCTTCGTTCCTAGAAAGGCACACCAGCTCCAATCAGCATCATCACACTTGGCAATTTCTTCGCTTCTTCAAGATCAATAGCACACCACACTGCGGGGAACTCGGGCTCCCAGCGGGGGAATATGCTTTTGGCGGATCATCACGACTTGCCTCTTCCCCTCGTCTTCTACTGCTGCTTCTCACTGCCACTCAAAAAAAAAACTCTCCCTCTCAAAGAAATCGAGGAAATTGATTCCTGAACCTTCTGGTATGCACCACCTTTAGCGCTGTGCTTTCTTCACTCTTGCAGACGTTTAACCGGGGAAACCGGATGATTGATGATGCCGATGCTGGCTTACTGAAGGATGCAAATTTAATGATTTGCCCTTACGTCGTTCTTCCCTGTGCGTCACAATCACTCACCCGCTCACTCTCTTCGACCGAAGCTCACATTGATTGAACTTATAATTTAACCAACGATTAACCTCCGCGCCGAAAACCGTTTTATTTTTTTGCACACAATTTCACCGACAAGCCCACAATTGATGTGATATTTTCTTGGCTCGACAGAATTATTCCAAATCTCGCGGCTCATTAAACATTCACATTCATTTTCCGCCCGTCGATTTCAACGTACTTTATTATTGCGGTGAACCCCCTGTCGTTGCCCCGTCACGGGTTGGGTCAGATGGAAAAAAAAGCTCGTCAACCCGCAAGTCAACCGTAAACCGAAATCGTTAGCACACTTTCTTTTGAGCTTCAGTGAACCGGTCCCCCGCCGTCGTCACGATTCCGTCAATTTTCACAACTTCAACCGGCTCGATTGCTCGATCCCTCGGAAAGACGGACGTGAAAAGCGAAAAATTTCACCTCTTAGATTTCTTCCGAGCACAGGTACTCGTCGTCACCCTGTCTACGTATGCTTGGTCGACTTCAAAATCCATGACCTACAGAAAAGCCTCGCCACCTTTTCACCAACCCATGTTGCTGATGTACGTCATATATGGGTAGCAACGAACCAAGAACACCAACTAGTTAGTTAGTACCTACACATACACACACAAACACCTTCAGCCTCACTCACTCATCCCCCGTCGTAGTTGGTGATGCGAGACGACTTTTCTTAAGTTGGTGGGAGGTGTGGGGGGAGGGGGAGAGAGTGTTAGAACTCGTGTGAAAAACTTGGAAGGAAGCTGACTGGCACTAACCAGGGGTACCGCGACAATTTGACCAAACTATGCTGCGAGGCTGATTCAGTGATCCAGAACGCGTCCGAACTGCCGAAAGTATCCCGATGAACTGAACTGAGGCGGTTGCGGGAAAATTTCAACTGCTTCACCGAGACTGCCACTGATGGTGAACAGGATTTTCCCTCGCTCTCGACACACACCGGTTGGAATGAACGCTCAGGGAAATGTTGCGAATCGATTCTCTTAAATTGCAGTGCCACGGGAGGATGTTTTGCTCAGAGAAACCCTTGGACGCGGAGCAAATAAAAAGGGGATGCTCTCTTTCTCGCGCTGATAACAGCAATTAAGTTGGACGGAATGTTTTGGTTTCGATCAGCTGATTGTGGGATGCCAATAAATGTCTTGAGAGTGTTTGGTTCATCGAAGGGAAGTTCGAAAATTCATTCCACACACTACGAGGGTTTGGATGGAATTTCAGATGGAGGATGTTTGTTAGCCGGGAATGGGTTTCGATTAAGAGAAAGATCATAATTGATACTTTCCTAAAAATGTGATACTAGGTTATTTGTCTCTGTTCTAAAAATCTAGAAAGTTGGTTTTTTTTTAATATCAATAAACTCTTCAAATCGTCTTGTAGGTCAGATTACGAATTCATTAGTTGCCAGGACAATTTAGTGGAAACACATCGAAACAGATGTGCATAGACGCTGCAAAGGATATTGTCACAGTCAGGGGTGATCTAGTGGGTGGAATGATCTGAACTCCAGGAACCTAGAAAATCTTTTATACAAAGTAATTGTTGTGTATAGAATCTATGAATTTGTTTAGCAATGTTTTGTTGCTAAAGATATTGTGCTAGCCTTGGATAATCTTGTTAATATGGTTTCTGGAACGGTTATAATATTGTTTGATCATGAGTGATAAATGTATACTCTAAAAACATTCGGGCAATGGCAAATCATCAAACTCATATCATAAATATTCCAAGAAAAGAACCTAACATATGTAACATAAGTCCTGATGTTTATTTGACGGAATGAACAAACAAGCAAATGTCAACCAATGCACTTGTCACGCTTATCTATACTGTTTACGATTGAATCATGACATGTATTATTTGAATTTGTTAGACTTTGAATTACCTACCTTGAAATATGAATTACGTTGTTTGCTATAAATAAATGTAAGTTAGGTCAACTAGAGAGTAGCAAACCTACTGATTCCAGGATTTGACAGTTGACAGGAAATAAATGTCTCTTTCTACAATTACTAATACCACTAGAGTTCAGAGGAGTAAGTATAGGAGAAGGAGAGGGAGAGTCAGATATGTGGAGGAGAACATGAAGTTAGTTGAAATAGAACGGTTGAACGGTTAACTTGAACCTCGCCTCGTTTAGTCCCGTGGGACGATAAAAAATCCAAAAGTCTCGTTGAGTTTGGTCGCGAGTGATCTACCTAGAGCGTGGAAAGCAAGTGGTCTGTCGCGTAATTCGAGTTGTCGTCGCGGAAACCCTCGAACGAAACCACAACCTTGGACAAATTTATGGTGCCGAAACCCGGGAGGAAGATCCCAACAGTGATTGTAAGCTCCGGTTCGAAAGCTTCCCACGTGTTTTATAGCAGCTTCCCACAAAATCAATCCAACGGAGTGCCTTGGTCATCGGTGTCACCAGTTGGAACCTTCTCGTTTCTCACTCGTGTCGCTGAAGCTGGTAGCGCCTAAGGCAAGTGGCCATTACTTCCTTCGGAGACTGCATTGGAGTTGAGGTTGAAACAAGGTTAGAACAACCGCGTGGAGTAAGTCAGGCAGCATCAGCAAGGTGGGTACCGTAACTCTGCCGTAAACGATTTCGAGATGCGAAAAACGGCTTTGCGGAAAAATACTCTCCACCACAAAACGCTTTTGCGGCGGAGAAGTACCATTCTCGGATCGGCAAAGTCGATCCAGCTCTTCGACGATCAGTATGACGTTACGCAAATCCATCAAGTTCAATTGCGAATCGATCGCCTTGACGAGTTATGGAGAAGCTTCGAAAGTGTGCAAGACGAGATTGAGGTTATCGAAGATTTCCAAGAGGAATTTGCTGACTCCCGTCGGGAATTTCAGGACGTGTATTTTGAGCTGAAAGCTTCTTTGGTTGGCAAGCTCCCACAAAATGGTCTTCAACCAAACGTACCTCCACCTGGAGCTCCTGCTGTTCACCAAGTGATATCGGTCAAACTGCCGGAGTTAAAAATTCCGGAGTTCGATGGACAACGGGAGCATATACTACTACTGAACTATCAAGCTCAAATTGCGCAGTAGTTTCCATTTAAAATGTTGTACAAGCTGGATACACGTGCACAAGTGGCCAAATTTTTTGGACGGCTCAGTACAAGTGAAATTCTAAGCGTGTTCAAAGACAAGCCAATATCAAAATCAACTATTTATCGTGATTTGAAGGATTTTCATGATGGAACCGGAAACTAAAACAGAAATGCGGTCATCCAACAAAATTGAGTGCCAGAACAAAAAAAAAAAAAAGATCAAGTGCTGAAAACAAAGTTGGTCAATTAACACGTAAATTAGCACGAAACTTTCATGTTTCAAACATGACAATCCAGCGGATTTTGAAAAAAAAAAAACATATCGGAACTATCAGAAACGTCAGCGTGCACCAAAATATACACAGCAACAACTCGAAAAAATACCGAAATGCTGCCGTGCACTTCATCGCGAACCTTTTGCGAATGGAAAGTGCATCATTTTGATACTGAGCAAAAAATACCATTTGTACCGAAAAAGGACAATGCATCAAACGTGCCTCAGGGTCTTCCAATCGAGTGTACTCAAGCGTATGGTGTACGACAATGGCTGGGAAGCTCAAATTGAACAACAATTGGTTGATTAAAAAATCAAAATTTAAAAAAAAAATCGACATAAATAGACACCATCCAAACCCTGATTCAACATGTCCGCCGCACACTGCAAAAAATCGAAGATAATGGTCCATTGAGTGTACTGTAAATACATTTGTCAACAGTTTATAAATAGAATAAAATACCCTAAAGAGGATTTTAAAATTAGATTGTTTGAATTCAAATAGCATTCTTTTGATTTTTTCCCAGGTCTTATTCTAACGTGACATGTGTTAGATGCATTAACATTGTAAAATCCATTCCTTTCCGAGGACAACTAATTGCTTTCTGTGACCTAACCAGGATATTCGAGATACCGATTAAAGTGACTACAATCAATGTTCTCAAAAAAATGATCATGCGACACATAAAATAGGGGAAATGGATGTAATTTTGGCCTAAATGTATGTATGTATGTATATACAATCCAACTTCCACTGTCCGGCAGTGTTTTTATGGAAGAAAAATGTTTGCAACCTAATCTATTATTATCTTATACTGATCCCATTGCAAACAATTTTAGCCCGGAAGTTGAAAGGTGATAGCTCTGTTGAGATTCAGAAACCCATTGCAGAATGCCTGGTTACTCACGTCCATTCCGAGGTTACTTTCACTTACAACAAGCCCCGCATACACGTAGTACCGATATAAAATGTATATAGGTACTGCGTGTACACTTCCATCCTCAAAGCAATTCCTGCTTTGTAGATGGCACGTATTTTGTAGCATGCATTTCATATTTTTATATTAAGTTGTAATCAGTTAGATCTCACCGCTTATGTATTGTGTCCTTGCTGCTGAATCTTTGTCATCTCGATTCTCGTTGAGTCCTGTTGATAATCGGCATCTGTAGTGGAATACTCTTCTCTCTCTTTCTCTATCACTTTTCGATGTTTTTCGTACCTCTTCTTGAATATTGTAACCTGTAATAAACATATTTGTAGTCAAACTGAATATGTTTTTAATTTATGGTACTCTATTTGTTCAATGTTATGTCACTTCTTATTTGTTTATTCAATTTAATCTTCTCCAAACAATTATCGATAAATAATAAACCTGTTTTCTCCTCCTTTATTAACATCTTTTGTCTTTCTTTTAATCCTTCTCTTATTTTATTTTAGTACTTGAGATTCTCTAGTCTTCTACCTCTGATTCAGACTCTTCTTCGCTTCCTATAGTTTTATAAATTTCCTCTGCCTGTTTTTTTAATTTCTCTTTGTCCTTAACCAACTCTAACCATTGTTCTTCTGTTATCTCCGGTAATTTCTCCTTATCTTCTCTTAAACTGTCATTCCATGTTTTTGCCGGCCTACCTCTTTTTTTCCAAGAAAATTTTAGTTTTTTTGCTATTTTTAGTGGATGTCCTTCTGGTCTTCTCTCTATATGTCCCCAATAGCTTATGCGCATTACCCTAACTTTTTTAACTGCTGATTTTCCATCTAATAAGCTTGAAACTGTAATTCTTCCCTTTGGCCTATTCCTAGAATATCTTAACATCTCTTTTAATATTTGTAATTCATACCTACTGATTGACTTTCTATTTCTTTTTATCAGAGCTGCTGCTTTCAATCCATATGTAATAGCTGGTGAGACTACTGTTTTATAAATAAGTTTGGAAAGTGCCCACGGGGGCTTATATCGTCTTATGAATTCTATAATTATTTTACTACTATTAATCGCTTGCATGCACCTTTTTCTTGTTGTTTGTGGCCTATCCAAAGTTTCTGTTAAAAATGTTCCTAGATATCTCATATTTTTAACTACCACGTACTTTTCTCCATCTATTTTAATTGTTTCTGGTATGTTCCTGTCTGAAAATGGCTCTCTTATCATTATTTGGCTTTTCTCTACATTGATTTCTAATCCTATTTTCCTTAATTCTTGTTTTAACTGTTTGATTATAGATTCTATTTGATCTACTGATACCCCTATAATTAACAAATCATCAGCAAATGCTAAAACTACCGGTAATTTACCATTATTTAATTCTAACAAGTTTAAATTGGGACATTTCTTTTTGACTTCCTTCAAAACTTTTTGGATAATTAATGTGAAGATGTAGGGTGATAGTGGGCATCCTTGCTTAATTCCCTTTCCCTTAATCCTTTCCTCTGAGTATACTCCTTCCCAGCGCACACACGTACGTTCTGCATTCAGCAAATGGATGTAATTTTGGCCTAAATGCCC